AGATATCTGCTCAAGTTTCCTGTCCAGGCTGTTCTCTTTCCAGTTGGCCTGTGCTCTCCAGATGCAGATCTCACAGATTTTTTTCCTGCTATAGCCCAAAGGCTGAAAAGTTCCCCTTGCTCCACCCTGTACTGTGCATCACACCCTTTCTCCTCCAAATTGTCAGCCTGCAATGGATAAGATTGAGCACTTGCAGCCTTCCCTACTCGCTCCCTGCCAATTGCCAATTATATGCCCTAGTTTTTTAAAAATGGGGGGAAAAAAAGAGAAACAGAAAATAATTACACCTATTGTCAAGATCGAATGAGATTGTCTGTGTGAGACACTTGGTAAAGCCTGGAACACAGGAAATGTTAAGTATTCATCATTATTTTTATTCCCACACCTTTGAGCACTTAGTCAAAATGCCATCTTTTGTGTTAAAGTTTCAGATGTGTTTGTTTTCTGTATCTTTTGTGTCCAGCATAGTATCATGTTTACTTATTAAGAAATTCAAAGATTGCCTGATCCAACTTACTAAAAGAAAAGGTAAGGAGAGTTAACAAAATCAAAACAGAACAAAAATGACCCAATAGGTGAGTTATTACCTGTTGATTCAAATTATATTTCCCTTGCATTTTTAAAATTCTGGTGAAGAAAGTTTGGTGCTTAAAATTCTGTACTTTGGCTAGTGGGCTCAACTTAGATTTCTACTTTAATCTCACATACTGCTTGCTTTCAAGCGAACAGGCTTCAAGCGTGTCATGATCTTGGTAATTTTTCAATCCCCTAGGGAATATTTTATCACTATTGGCTGGAAGGCAACTGAAATATTATTTTGTATTTGACTTTACCTAAATGGTAATTCACAGATCCATTGGATTGTTGCCCAGACAACTGAAAATAATAAAATCAAGAGAAAAAAAGATTAAGCTAAGTAATACTAATTTCCATCTTAAAGAAATGTAAGTGAATATGCAGGTGAAATAAATACTAGGTGGAAAAAAGTGCAAACTCTACTAGCTTACATTTATTGAATTTAACAAGGGTTGTGCTGTTGGCTCACCCTCCGGATCCTATAGGATTCCAGCAAATTAAACTTCTCCAACTGGCAAGTTAATAGTGTTGATGTAATGCTGCTTGTCCCCAGATAGCTGAACTCAGCAACTCCAGTTCCATTTTTCCTTTCCAAAGGATAGCTAAAGAAACATTCCTGGGACACATGTAACATGTTTGCTTTTACAAGAAAGAAATTTAGTTCACATTTTCCTCTATAGCTCTATGTCTTATGCGATGATTTCTTTTTTTTTTAACACTTTTTTAGTTGTTGATAGATCTTTATTTTATTAATTTATATGCGGTGCTGAGAATTGAACCCAGGGCCTCACACATGCCAGACAAATGTGCTACCACTGAGCCCCAGCCCCAGCCCCTTATGCTATGATTTCTATAGATTTTATTTGTTTAGGTAAAAAGAACAATATTTAGAGTATTCCAAAAGTTCACAGATCTGAAGTTCAAAGAAAAGGGATTATTTTTTTTGTCCTATATGTATACATATTATTGTCCTATATGCATTGTGGTCCTGTATGTATTACCATTCAGGGGTTATTCTCTTCGGTTTTTCAACAGAGGAGGGCCTGTGGACATTGCTGCTGCTTCTGCTTTCTCCTCCCCTTTCCTACACAGAGCAATTCCCTTACAAGTCCACTTTTTCAAAAGTGAATATAAGACACATAACTGTAACCTGTGTCTCCTAACAATATAGCATGTACAATTCTCAAGGTCAATGGTTAAATCTAGCTCCTTATTTATAATGCCAGCAAAATATTCTATCTATAGTGTGAAAATATAATTTTTCAGCTATTCCCTTGATGAACAATCAACTCATTTTCAGGTTTATTTTCCATCAACACGGTGGAAGTTAATCGTTTTTGTTCATGATTTTACATGTGGGTTCTTTTGAGTCTGCACATTATATTTTAAAATATAAGGCTTATGGGTCAAAGGTCAATTTATCTATATTAAATAGCTTTACAGTTAGATCTATATGTATTAACATTTTCTTATTTAAAGGTGGTATAGATATTGCTATGATATCTCTATTTGATTCCATCAGCTCAGGTTTTTCATTTTGTTTATTTATTTATTGGTAGAAAATGGTTCTTAACGCTCAAAAGCAACAACTACAGAAACTTATGCCTTGTTTTAAGTAGAAAACTTTAATCTAGAAATAAAATGTGCCTCAAATCAAACCGATTTTCATAGTTACTATGTTATTTCAAGATTATTTTTTTTTCAAACTTTTGACAGAACATTGTGTGAGTGCTAGGTACTGAACAAATTACCACATTGGCAGACTCAGTTGTGTATTTAACAACAACAAAGCATTACCAATATATTTGACTGAACAACACATTATTAATCACATTTCTATTTAGGCCATTACCAAAGATTCACTTGTTCCTGAAATTTTGTAATAAGCCAAATCATTAAATTTTTTTGCTTATTTTCCTGTATTAGTAGAACTATTAAGTCAACAAGGTTTTTCTTGAATTAATGTTAGAATGTACAGTATACATCATGGATCTGTTTTTATGACGTACAAGGTGTTTTGTTTCTACTTTTTTGCTATGGAAAATAGTTAACTGGCTATCTCTTTGATATGTGTAGTCATAAAATGTGACTAGTTTATATAAGAATATTTTAAGTAAGAAGAAAACAAAGGAAAATCCTAGGATTTAGAGATGACCATTTTTACTGACCATCAATATGTATGTATTATTTTATATAATTCTTCAACAACTTATGAAATTAGCATTCACAGATGAGAAAATGAGTTTCAGTGAAACTGAGTTTCACCAAGCAACTTGCTCAAGGTCTCACAGCGAATAAATTGGAAAGCCCATACTTGACCCCATCATCTGTCTGGTGTTGAGGCCCACACTAGTATATCCTCTGTTCTCTACTGAACCTGACACATTGATCACCATGCACTTTTGCCCCAATGTTTTTCCTTTCTTGGTTATAAGTCACAGGTCAGTCTGAATCAGTGATACAGACATGAAGCGTAAGTTCCTTTGGCTATAGCACTTCTACATGACTGGAATGGATCTGGTCCACTCTTGGAGAGGATGTGGGTTATTCCTGGTCCTGCTGAGGTGGCTCCTCTTCTGAGGTTAACATTTCTCCCAGAAGCTTGAGGTTGGTGGTAGGACATGGAATATTATTTAGTCTCAGACTTCATCCTTTTGTTATAGTCAATATTTCTACGAGCGTATTAAAGCTATTCACCAAAAACTAATTCAATGTTACATGACCTTCTGCGTGTACACTTTTCTTCCCTTTAGTTTTTTTTTTTTTTTTTAAATGCTGAGAATTATTTGGGAAGCTAAGGACATTTTTCTTTGAGACTTCCAAAAGGCACACTGGAAAGTACCTCAAATGTCTCATGCTAATAAGTATTCAAGAGGAGGAGGGAGGTAGTAGTAACATTGTAATCCTCCTTATATTAGACTGTTGTTGAATAATTTGAGCATTGATAATTTTAGAATATTTTCAGCAGTGGAAAATTTAAGTAAGACTCACATCATCTTCAGAGGCAACATATGTTCATCCATGGCCTGTCATGAATGCACAGCCTTTTGTAGTTTCATACGCAAAAGGGTAGAAGGCCTTTTCTTTCCCTTCCTGAATATGATGCCTAACTATAACACCAAGTAGTATGGAATTCTTAAATTAGCTAATACCATTTTCTCAGTTCGTATAGCATTAGGTTTTGTTGGTGGTGATTGCAGTGTTTTAAATATTTGTCCTGCTTCCTAGTTAAAAAAAAAAAATACAGCAAGAGGACTAACTTGGGGAAGTTTGGGATAAAAATGTACCCGGAGTATAGGGATGGGTGGGGATGGAGGCAGTGGGGGATGCTCTTTGTAAATGGCAAGAGAATCTTTTTCTCAATTCTCCTACTGCCATGCAAGACTTTGGGAATTAAGCACCACTCCCAGCCTGTAATTCTTGAACACTGAGGTTAAGGCTGAAACACTACCTGCTGCTCCCTTCTCCAGCATCACACACAGACCAGGTCTGGCAAAATAGGCTGGCTGTTAGCCAAACTCCGAATTCACCAACCCCAGACACCTGCAGCTGGTTCCTTGCCACAGAGCCCGGGACGCCTGGGGTTGGAAAGATGGAAAGCCACTGAAGCCACAGACGCACGCACGCACCCGGGACCGGGAAAAATTGAGAAGCGGTTGAAACCATAGATGCCCAGGGAAGAGCTGCTCTCCCTGGAAGGGTGCCTGGCACACAGGGCTCTGGCAAAGATCCAAGATGCCCAGCGAAAAGCATTCCCGCACCTGCATGTGCTCAGAGTGCCAGCGCTTACCCACACACCCCAAATTCACAAACAAGGCACATGGCAACGTCCTTTCCCCTGGGTACCCCTATCTGGGTGGCACTCTGTTCTAGGCAGACAAGCCCCTCTCTCTCTCTCTCTCTCTCTCTCTCTCTCTCTCTCTCTCTCTCTCTCTCTCTCTCTCTCTCTCTCTTTTCCTCATCTTGCAAGTTTCTAAATCTGAGGCTGGGTGACCCAGGGCTGCGCTCAGGGCTCCTAGTGTTGCCCTGGAATCCACCGGGTACCCGCGTCATGCCCAAGAGACGCACAGGCATCTCGCGCGCACGTTCCAAGCTCCCAGAGAGGACAAAAGGGGATAAGGGTCCCAATTTGAGTAAAGAAACGGTGACTGCTGAGACAAGCTTCTAGGGCTGCCTGCAAGTGCCTCAAGGAACAATACCCAGGGCCCCCGTGCGCGCCCTCCCTTTCCCGGGGCATTCTCACCAGTTGTATCCTCTGCCACGCTTGAACTTGACGGTAAGCACAGTCTCCAGGAAGAGCAAGAGGTTGAGCAGCGCCAGCAGCCAGTACCGTGGATCTCCCATCACCTCCGTCACTCGCCAGACCCCGACCAGGGAGTGCAGCACAAACAGCAGCCTGGTGACAAGGTCGTTGAGCAGGACCAGTCCCTCCATGCCTGCCCTTGCGCTTGGCCCGGGGCACCTCGCCTGAACCCTGCGGACCCTGCTAGAAGCGCCCAGAGCCCGCTGATGGGTAGGGACTTGACAGCACTGAGACCTGATGCTGCTCTCTTCCCTCCTCACCCTTCCGCGACCGATGCCGGTAGGACAGGAGAGCGTGACTCGCCCCTCCCCCCAAACTTCCTGAGAACTCTTTAAAGAGGGGAGAATCCAAACCCAGCTTTTCCAGACTGCTGGGTTTTGCAGGGTGCGGGGCTGCGCCGCTCAGGCTCCTGGGCGTTATTTTCCAGCTCCACTCATCCCCCTCCCAATCCTGGGGCCAGTCTCCATCACCATCACCGTGCTCTATCCCCACCCCCAGGCCTCCGTGGGGTCCACAAGAATTTCCCCCACTCCGAGGAGCTATAAAGAAGAGGGAGGTGGACAGAAGGTCAAGGTGCTGCATAGCAAGATGGGGCGGGGCGCTAGGAGAGAGGGGACCCCCCCCCCCCCCCCGGCACCTCCTCTTTACTTTTCCACCAAAGTACTCTTTAATTTACTCCCACGTTTCACAGGAACATGCTCTCAGGGTGATTCGAAGCTAGCATGCTGGAAAGCCAAAGAATCTGCTGTCCATGCAGTTTTAGAAACACAGCAGCGCCTGCCCAGTTTAAAGAATTGAAACTTTCCAGGACCAGACAAAGTCAGCAGCTCTGGGCTCTCCTGGAGCTTCTTACATCTCCTTCAGCGCAAGGGTGACCCTGGTCACTTACTCTTCCAATGCTTTCATTAAAACAGATAAATTGGGGCTGGGGTTGTGGTTCAGCGGTAGAGTGCTCACCTCACACGTGTTCAATCCTGGGTTCGATTCCCACCACCACCTAAAAGTAAATAAATAAAATGAAGGTATTCAATGAAGGTCCAACTGCAACTAAAAAATAATTATTAAAAAAAACAGAGATAATTTTTATTATGCCATCCCTGACTCCCACCACTGTCCCTAACCCCTTGGAGGTGGGGATGGAGTGCAGCAAGATAAGAGGGCAGAAGGGAAAATGAGGGAGAAGAAAGAAGATAAAGTCAGGAATGAGATTAAGAGGTGAGATTCCTGGAAGGGAGACCTGCACTCTTGAGATCAAGGACCCTTAAGTTAAATTCTGGTCTTTCCAGCATCCAAGGCAAAGTGGAAGCTTAAGTCAGACTTTCCTAAATCACCTTCATGATTTCTATTTGTTTGTTTGGAGTGCTGTTATTTGTGATACTATTTACTTAACATTTTTCTTCAAATCAACTTTTTTTTTTTTTACTGAAATCTATTTGTTGTAAAAAGAAACTTTATATCATTTGTAAATGGAAACGCAGTACAGTTGTCTATAGATGGAAGGTAACTGCATAATAATAATAATAATAATAATAATAATAATAATACAATGGACTAAGTTGTTAACAATATCATTAGGTATTCTTGTCTCCAAAGCTCTGTACCTCAGATTTCCTTTCTTTTTTATAAATGGAGATTTTAAAAAATGACAGTCAGATTACTACCAAGCAGGAATGCTCTGTTGTCCACATTAGTAACATTGAAATAAAAACACATGGAGAACATCTTTTCTAGTTAGGTTTATTCAATTTAAAAGTATGGTATACCTCAAGTAAAAAAACTGTAAGTTATTTGATTATCTCTATTAGGTGAAAAAGAAATCAAACTGCTTAGAGAAAATTTAGAAGCTATTTTTGGTACTGAGATCTGTAAGAATTTATTTATTTACTTTTCCTATGGTCTGTATTGTCTCACAATATCTTGCAGGAAACCCTGCAATCATTTGCAGGGGCGGAGGGTGTTTATTACAGTGCTGCTCAATATAAGCTGATAGCAGTGAGCACATTCAAGGAAAAGGAAGTAGAGAGCATGGTAGACAAAGGTAGCAGAGGCAGCAGCAGGGAGTAAAGGTCAAAGATCCAGTGCCCACCAAGTAGCCTCTGGGAATGCTGACTCAGTCACTTAGGAGTGTTGTAGCTTTTATTGCCCTCTTGTAGCTTTTATTCCCCTGTGTGTAATCAGCTTTCTGTTGCTGTAACAAACTACCTGAGAAAATCAATTTAAGAGATGAAAGAGCCAGGCCTGGTGGCACATGCCTGTAATCCCACTGGCTCTGGAGGCTGAGGCAGGAGGATTACAAATTCAAAGCCAGCCTCAGCAATTTAGCAAGGCCCTAAGCAATTTAGCAAGACCCTGTCTCTAAATAAATAAATAAAATGAGAAGGACTGGGGATGTAGTCACTAGTTAAGGACCCCTGGGTTCAAATACTGGTTCCTTAAAAGAAAAAAAGGATGAAAGATTTGCTTTGGCTCATGATTCCTGAGATTTCAGTTCATGGTTAATTGGTTGCTTTGATTCTGGGTTTGTGAGAAGGCTGAATTTCATGGCAGAGAGGGTATGAAGGATCAAAGTTGCTCACCTAATGGCAGCTAGGAAGGGAGAGAGAGTGAAGATGAGATGTAGACCCCAAGGGCACATTCCTAAGGACCTCCTTCTATTAGCCCTTACCACCCACATTTTGTATCACTTCCCAATAGTCCACTTATTTATAAACTCATCAGTTGATTAATTTACTGATGAGGTCAGAACTCTCAGGATCCAAGCACTTTCCAAAAGACTCACATCTGAACATCACTGCATTAGGGACCAAGCTTTCAATACATGAGCCTTTGGGATACATTCCAGAGGCAAACCATAATACCCAACTTCCTCATTTGCAAACCACAACACCGAGGTTCCTCATTTGCGAATTGGTAGATAAGTAAGTAGATGCTAAGTCTATCTACTCATAGGCTCAGTAGGGGACCAGATATATTCATCCATATAAAGTGTCTGACAGGTATTATTTGTTAGAAATTGGAGATTATTGCCAGGACCAAAACAAACAAAAAGAAATTAGTCCAGAGAGCTATTCTAAGAAAAGGACAAATAGGAATAGAACGGATAAATGTGGCATTTCCAATGCATGTCAAAACCTTTCGGCAGGTCCCTACTAGGAGCACATTCAGAACTGAACAGGTTGGGTTTGCTACTTTTTTTTTAATAAAGGAAAGCACACTTCAAGGGGACCTATGAGTGTGTCAACAAGAAGGTTTTAGAAAGGTAAAAAGTTTTAGAAATGACTTGCTAGAAAGTATTGGCCTTGACTTAGGCAATGTTAAGGCTTAAGATAATAGGAATATAGATTGTATGCTTTCAAAAATGGACTTAATTTTATGATTGGCAGTCTTGATAAATTTAATTTAGATAAGGGAATGTTGGTCACTTCTGTGGTTTGTACAATATTCATGTTTTGATTGTGTTTAGTCATGACTATGAAGCAGACTTATTTGTGTCTTTATCCACAACAATCACTCTGTTGACCTTGCCTGATGTTACCTGAACATGCTGTATTCAAGAAGAGGATTCCAAAGCCAGACTGATGGTACCAGAGCAATGCCTGCTGTCAGGAGTTCTTTTCTCTTTCTCATGCCTGTCAGAAAGAGCTTCTTAGGAGGAGTGCAGAAAAGAAAGAAGGAGGTTCATCTGACATCTTCCAAACATCTTTGCAATTCTCTGTTTTGAAGGATTTGGTTCAGTATAGCTTCTGTTGTCTCTGGATCTGAAAAGCAAGAACTATCATTAAAAAGAATATAAAGTTTTCTTTCTTTTTAATTTTCTCCTAAGCCCATTTACAAGAACTGGAGGCTTTGAGACATATCTTGAGATCTTCAACCTAATAGCCCAGTAATATTTAGAAAAGAGGGAAAATTTTTATTTTTTTTTTTTTTTAAAAAATCCACTCTTCCTGAAAAAGCCTTCTCAGCAGCATGCACCCAGTTCTTGAGGTTACACTAAAGCAGAACTTGCTCAGACCACTGTCTCATGGGGAAACATCACCAGATTTTTCTTCCTCTCCCAGTACAAAGTGGGCATCATCATTGTCAGACTTCTTTTCAGATTAGGGTGATTTGAGTTGCAAGAAAGATACTTTCCCGTGCTAGCTCAAGTAAAAGTAGTAGTTTTTGGAAAGCCATGCGTGATCTAAAAATGGAACTAGACTCCTTAGAATTAAGAACAGGAAGTATAATAACAGGACCTTAGCCATCTAGAACTGGAAGCCAACTCAAGTAGCACCAGGGATCACATGAGTACAGTTGGTGGATCTTTGCAATAGCAGCTCTCTGACGTTGGCTTCCAGCCAATTTCTCCATGCTGAGTTCAGGTTCCTGAGAAAAGAACTTCAACTGACTTCCTTTAATTTTAGATACCAGGTCACATCATAAGTCACTGCACTGGCAATCAGTGGACCTCAGTGCTTTCACTGGTCATCCCCATGCAAAGACAAGTTTAGTGTTGCTAGATTCTGAGTAGAGTTTGAACAGGAGAGAAATGGGACATCGTAGGCATGTTGAGCAGCTTGCCTAATACCATCCAGCTATGAGCTGACATGTACAGACCCTACACCTACAATGCCAAAGATGTCCCTAACTAATCCTATCTAAACATTGGCATACAATTGTCCACCCGCCTGTGGCTTTCAAACAGAGATGCAATTCAGTCACATCTCTCCTATGGCTACCAAGCTGCAGGTTGATCTCAGAAGCTGCAGTCTTCTGATGATCCTCATTCTTCTCTTAGCTCTTTTATTATCCTATTCAGACATCACCCTTACGTGTGTGTGTGTGTGTGTGTGTGTGTGCATGTATGTGTAATACTATGCAAGGAAAACATCAATCACTATAGGCAAGTGCAAGTCTATTCCCCAGAGGAATTTTTCATCACTAACACTTTCCATTTTTATTTTTTCTAGTGATTAAAACTATACTTTTAAAATAGCTAGGGGTGGTGGCACATGTCTAAAATTCTAGTGGCTCGTGAGGCTGAGGTAGGAGGATTTCGAATTCAAAGCCAAGGACCTAAGCACCTTAGTGAGATCCTGTCTCTAAATAAAGTATTTAAAAAAGGAGAGAAAATATGGCTCAGTGATTAAGTGCCCCTGGGATCAATCCCGATACCAAAACAAACAAACAAACACATTTTATACTCCTTTATTCATTTACCAACTTATAGAACTCTTGACTTCTTTGTTTGAAATTGGGGAGAATACACTACTCCCACAACACCTTCTTACTCATTCTCCATTATCTAAATCTTGCCAATCATGCTCTCTATATCAGTAACATTCTATTCTCTAGCTATGATTATAATCTCTTGTTAATTGACCTTAAGAATTGAAGATCAAAAAGCTATTAAAATATATTATTAGTTCTCAATATATATTTTTAGATATAGTGGGTTTGCCCCTGAACTTTGAAAACATTTCTCCATTATATTCTAGAATCCAACATAACTAAAAAGTCTGATCATTTTCTTTTTGTAAATAAGTATTTTTTTAATGTCTAGTATTTTTCAGGATTTTTTCTTTATCATGGAGTGCTTCTTATTTGACCCTGCCTACATATTGGACTTTTT